CGGATTTAGGGGTTTCGCTAGAAAATTATATTGTATATATATATAAGGCAAAATCATTTTCTGAATCTCCTTGTCATAGTCCAGAAGCATAGTTCAGTGATTACGGGCTTCAATTTCCTTCTTTTGATGAAAAGACAATTATTTTTTCCCTTACAAAGTTGGGCTTATATTGGCCTCAGTTAATATAAACATGACACATGTATACACGGCAGCATAAATTTCGCGGTTGAGAAATCACATATTGGAAAAGAAATAAGTAGGCCTTCTAACTAGTCATTTTAAGGGCCTTGTCAGTGACCATAGCACTCTGCCACTCTACTCATATTAAAATGAGAATGTACACTATATTCTTTTTTAAACTTTCCACCAATCTATATACATATATAAAACTGGGACTTTGACCCGCTGATGTGGCCTGCCCAATTGATCAGCAATTACCTTTATCTTTTTTCTCCATTTTTTGAGTTTTCTCTTATTTTTCCCTATTTACCTCATTCAATAATAAATTTCTTCTTCTTCTTTCATTTACCGGTTAATTTAATTGACAAATCCAACCGTTACATATTTCCTTCATTAATAGTACAGCCCACTAATTTCTACCAAACCCTTTCTTCTTCCTTTTTGATGACAACAGTTTCAAACGCTAATATCTTTTCTTTCTCTCCATCTATCTATTTCTGTGGATAAAAAGAGAATTCCTCTTTTCTTCTGGAAATCCATCAAAGTTATTGTCAAAATTGCACCGTATGTGATGTGACTTGTAATTCAACTCAAGTTCGTAATTTAAGGGGGGAAGGCTGGTAACTTCTTTTTTTTCCTTTTTCTTTTTATTTCTATAAAAAAATTCTTGGTTCAAATATGATATTCTTCACATTTTGCTCTTTTGATTTTTTTATTTTGATAGGGAAACGATGTTGGCCAGTGTTATCAATACATGCCGTCACCAAAAGTTCAAGCTTTGGTCATCTGCCTTCACTTTCTCTTGTACATTCAATCATAAATTAGAAGATAAGTTTTTTAAAAAAAAAAAAATTGTAGCAAAATATCAACCACTATTATCATTAGTTGGTCTTATATTTAATTCCATTCTTCTAAACTGTTGCTTATATGCCTTTTTGGAGACGGGCATATGTATCGTCCTTCCACCGAACTTTACAACTCGTGCTTATGGCGACGGAAGAAGAGAAGACGACTCGCCATTCTCCTCTCGATTTTTCCATTGTGAGGTTCTTAACAAATTAAATTTTTTAAATTTATTTTTGGAGATAATAAAAGTTATTCAGAGTTGTAATTTACTTTGTGCTAAGAGTAAAGCCTACATATAGAAGATAAAACAATAATTTGTGTAATCCAGATAATTTTTTGTCATATTAGTGTGAATGGTGGTTGTTGTTTGGATGATTAAAATTGTACTAATGTCCTCAAATTTCCAAATCCTACCGCAATATTGAATTATTCGTAATTATAACTTGATTTGTTTTCAATTTTCTTTTTATCTCTTATCCCCGAACGATACTATATTTTATCCTCATATAAATTCAGTTATAATTTTTATATTTAATTCTCTTTTCCTATTTAATAACCTTACGTAAACTTTGGGTTACAAAGTAAATTCTCATTTTATGATCTTACCAATTCACAACTTTCACTGTCTGTCAGTTTTAGTGGGAATCCGGACTATGCCAAAGATGCAATTCCTCTGCTTGCAAGTTACAGTAATGACCTGCATCATATCCCCTCAACTGCTATCCAAGTTGGCTGTGGTGGATATATTTGATCTGATGTCATGGTGGTGGTCGGGATAGCCCCGCAACTCCAATATGCATGACGATGATAACTTGAAGAACTCTAAGAACTTTTTGAAAGCATTGAAAAAGTAATATGAAATTTTCTTTTGGTTATGATTTTTGTTTCAGAGTTATTTTTCCATTAGCAAATCATTGTTTTCCTTTACTTCACAACTCCATGATATTCAATGTTGTATTGCTACTTGAAGGATGAAGATAACATGTCCGGATATTGAGTATTTTAGATATTTTTAATTTTTAATGATAATATAAATATTGCATAATTTCAACCTGGCGAATCAGTGCACTGTTTGGTAATATGAATGTTAATTTAAGTTTACTCTTCTGCAGTTATGCTTGAGGTTGGTTTCAGATAGGATAAAAAGATTCAATGGTCAAAGTTGGAAGCTAATGAAGGATGATTTTGGGTCGGTTAATGGATTTTAATGGAACTGACTGTGTTAAAGATCTTAGTTATTGTTTTGTTCGGAAACTGTAATTCTAATGTGAAAGTTTTAGTTTTAGTGTCCATCAAGAGAGAAAATAATCATGACAATGTGTATGAATTAAGTGTAACAGAACAAAGAGCTAGATATACTTTCTTGTAGCATTCACATATTCTTCGGCTAAGGCAACATTATATTGTGCAACTGCAATGATAAGAAAGAAGTAGCAACCAAGACGACACAATTTCTGATCATTACACTATGGGATAATGGTGGAATTAATGCAGATGTTGAACAAGTGGATAACCAAGGAAATGCATTAGGTTTAACTGCTCATATGTCTGATGCTCATACTCTCAATAGGAAACAGGACATTTTTCCTGTTCTCAAAAACGTAAAATTAAAAGATCGAAATTGATTTTAGCCTATTATTTTGATTGTATCCAAACTAAGGTGTTTAGAATGTTTTATACAAATGTAAAATATATGTGGCCTTTCTTTTTTTAATAAGTAATAATTTTGATATTTATTTGATGCATCAGGTATTGACTTTTAGCTTCAATATTTTTCTTCAGATTCCTTTGCCATGTAAGTTGGAAAGGAAAATTAAATTGTTAATATGACAGACTTACATTGAAGTTGCCATTTCAAATGGTAATAGATACTTTATGAAGCAAATGTGAATTCGAACGTAAAAGTGAAGCTAAATGGAGAAACACCATGGCTAATGACTTAAGTCTATTCATCCTAAATTTTTCTTGTGCTTCCTTCTGATGTAAAAATCTGCGTATGATATTTCATTTGTATAGTTTCTTATTTTGTTTTATTTTTCCAAAATTTTCTCTTAGATAAATATTCATCGGCTTTCTGTTATTTTCTAATATTATATATTTAGAAGAAGACTAACAATGCTGCATGAGTTTTCATCTAAAAGGTTTAGTAGACCCTCATGAATGGAAATATTAGTACCACATTTGCTTGAAGACAAAAATACACATTACTTTGCTCGAAAAAATTATATCGCTTTACCCTTGAGGCCTTGATTACATAAAATACATATAATACTAGACATTCTAGTTTGTCTTTGACAAATATGTTGTATGTTAGATGTTCTGGTTTGTCTTTGATGAGCTCTCGATTATTCTGTCTATCTTCAAATTACAACTACAAATGCATTCCATATATATTTATGTTTTATTAAATCAACTTACTTGGTTTCAATTATTCTAGGCTTTAAAAGCAAAAGCTTCCAATAGTACAAAGAAGATTAGAATCATTGGCTGTCAATTCCTAGGATAAATTTTTGTGTATTTTAGATGAAATTGTATGACCGCGCGAAGCGCGGACAAATTAACTAGTACATTATGAAGTCAATTAAATGTACTGAATCTAAAAAACAAATCGGAGAGTAATATCTCCTAATAAAAGCAAAAAAGAACAGTTCTTAGAAGGAATAAGAAAAATCCAATGGTTGGTTTATTTGGATTATATATCACCTAATTCAGTTATTCTTTACCAAATCAATCCATCAACTATATATAATCTTTGTTATGTTTCATGCCAAAAATAAACTTTTGATATACAACTTGCTCTATTGATTAGTTTACTAGTAATATACACTTTTTAATAGAGCAAGTTGAATAGAAGTGACCATTTAATTATCACTTAATTAGATAATGAGATTAGTTTTATTTTTATATGAGTAATCATTTATACGCTCTAAACTAAGAGCAATGTGATTTCAGCTCTTTTCTGGGAGGTGCATGACGATAATGTCTTGACTTTAGACTTTTTTCTTCTGTCCAAAAAGGGGAAAAGGAAAAAAGAGGAGCCTTTTGTACAAGCATCAACTGCAAATCATAAGTACAGCACGCATGCTATGAGGAAATGGGAGACCCATTGTCCAATTACTTAATAAGGTAGAATTGCTCCTGCATGTTGTTCAGTTGTTTAACGAAGCTCCTTTTGTCAGCAATAAACGCCTTTTGGGCCAGCCCCTGCATTCATGTTGCCGCACAGTAGTGGAGACTCTTCTTTTCTAAATTCTCTCCTTCTACCTTTTCTCTCTTTTTTTTTTTCCTTTTTCATTTCTTTGCTCACTTGCCCACTACTGTTTTGCTTATTTTTTTCCTTTAATTAGTCCAAAATAGGCCGATCGCACCTCAATTATTTCATCAGGAACTTGCTAACACATGTATCTTGCTATCTTTTATTAGCACATGTATTAGATAATTCTGTCCATCAAAACTTGATAATTGTCTTAAATGTTTGTTTTGCTTTCTTTTACCATTCAATCAGGGGCGAGCTACCTTTAGTAGAAGGGGATTCAACTGAATCTTGTTCGCCTAAAAATTGTAGGATAGAAACAACAAAATTCCGTGTATGTATAAACTCTTGAATTAACTTGGCATTGTTTCATATCTTCGATGTGACATTTTTATTTGTATTTGCTTGAATCCCCTAACTCAAAATTTTGGCTTTGCCACCAACCAAATAAAAGAAGGAAAGAAATAGTGATTAGTTAGAGACCCAAACAGAGTGATAATATTGTATGAAAGGAGGGCCTGTAAGTAGTAAAATATAGATTCATACATTGACAGTAAAAAGTAAGGTATGGACTGATTAACTTTATAATAATATTCTGTGGAATTAGTAAAATACGTAGCGAGTGAGATATATTTATCTTTTTTAAATTTTTTAAAGCTGAGTCAACTTTAGCAGATACTGGAAGCAAAGACGAGAATGAGTGGGAAAAGGGCAAAAAGGAAGAACTTTTCTTTATTGAATATGGAGAAAAGGTCAAATACAGTAGCTCGAAGAAATCTATAGTAATCATCCCAGGTCCCATTGATAGCAACCTGGCCAAAACGCGCTCAAGGACAATGATTATGGGTCATTTTCTTAACAAGTAAGCATAACTATTTAAACATGAAAGCTGACTTGATAGAAAGCAACAACCAAGCAATTACAAAGCAAGAGTTGAATGGAGATAATTCATCAAACTGTTTAGAAAAAATCCAGAAGCTAAAGTATGTCATCCTCTTACATGAAAGAGGCTGAGAAAATATCAGGCCAACAGGGTTGTTGCCCTAATCCTCTCCTTATACTACTTGAGTCCCAGAACCAGCAGCCTCTTCCCAAGATCAAAAGCACTACTGCAGCTTGCCGCCATAGCTTCGCAGCCACAACAACTTCCTCTTTCTTCCCAAATACCCATTTCACTAACCATGAATCCCTTCCTTCATATCAAGAATCATTTGCTCAGTTCATCAAAACCTACCCTAAATACTCAGAAACTCGCCAAATCGACAAAATTCGAAGTCAAGAATACTATCATCTGTCAATCTCCAACCATGTGTGCCTGGATTACATTGGCATTGGTCTCTTCTCTTACTCACAGGTTCAATCACAGCTCCCTGCACTTGTCCCTATGACTTCCTCTTCTTCTCCATCATCATCTAATGAATGTTGTGATTATCCTTTCTTTGACATATCTTGTAAGTCTGTGAATCTCAAATCTGAACTACTACATGGTGGTCATGGATCAGAATTGGAATCTAGTATCAAGAAAAAAATCATGAATTTTCTTAACATGTCTCAAAATGAATACTCAATGGTTTTTACTGCTAATAGATCATCAGCTTTCAAGCTTATAGCAGAATCTTACCCTTTCCAAACTAGTCGAAAGCTTCTTACAGTTTATGACCATGAGAGTGAAGCATTGGAGACCATGGTCAATACATCAGAAAAAAGAGGGGCTAGCATATTGTCAGCAGAATTCAAGTGGCCACGGCTAAGAATTCACTCGGAAAAACTTAGGAAACTAATTATAAGGAAGAAGAAGAAAAAGAAATCAAAGGGATTGTTTGTGTTCCCACTACAGTCAAGAGTGACTGGAGCGAGTTACTCTTATCAGTGGATGAGTTTGGCACAGGAAAATGGTTGGCATGTCTTGCTTGATGCATGTGCATTGGGACCAAAAGACATGGATAGCTTTGGACTTTCACTCTTCCATCCTGACTTCCTTATTTGCTCTTTCTACAAGATTTTTGGTGAAAATCCTACAGGGTTTGGATGCCTCCTTGTCAAGAAATCACTCGTATCAATGTTGGAAGCTTCTGTCAGTGCAGGTATTGTAAGTCTTGTTCCACCCACACAGTTATTAAATTCACTAGATTCATCAGGCAGTGGCACAGAGCTTGAACAAAAATCCAACTTTTATACAAAGCTGGATGAACTACATATATCTGGCTCGCGTTCAGCTCATGTTCCTGCAAACAGCGAGAAAGAAGAAAGAGAAGTTGCTCAAAAGGAAAAGAGCAAAGAGGAACCAGATCAATCCATTGTTTCACTAGGAAACAATACTAAGGTGGAAGAAAAGGAAAGCTTGGAGATTCATTGCAGATGCTTGGATCATGTGGATTCGCTGGGATTGATGCAAATCGGTAACAGAAGAAGGTATCTAGTTAATTGGCTCATTAGTGCACTACTGAAACTTCAGCATCCAAATAGGTTGGACCATTTTCCTCTGGTCAGAATCTATGGACCAAAGATAAAATTTGACCGGGGAACAGCTCTGGCGTTTAATCTGTTTGACTGGAAAGGAGAAAGGGTGGAACCAATTCTCATGCAGAAGCTTGCTGATCGGAACAATATTTCTCTCAGCCATGGGCTTCTTTCGCGCTTGTGGTTTCTAGACAAGTATGAGGAAGAAAAGCAGAGGAATACAGAAAGAAATAAGGGTGAAGAAAAAGATGCAGAGAGCAAGAAATCTAAAAGAACTGACTTTGGCATATCAGTAGTTACAATTGCCCTTAGCTTTCTGGCCAACTTTGAAGATGTTTACCGGCTTTGGACATTCATAGCCCAGTTTCTTGATGCAGACTTTGTGGAGAAAGAACGGTGGAGATACATCTCTCTGTATCAGAAAACCATCGAAGTCTAAAGCAGCAGTTTTTGCCGGCAAGTCTTTTTACTGCAAAAGATTTGAAGAGTGATACTTGTATTAGTCAATGTGAAATGGAAACAAATGCAAGATCTTTGTCCAGAAAATGGATGAGAGTCCAAACATTTGAAGAAAAAGGCACATAAGGGTCAGGACTTGGATTCACATTTTTATCAGTTTTTTCACCTTGCTTCAATTGCTAGAACCTGTGTATTGTGAATATTTGTGGATGACGAGAGAGAGCTATAATTAGTTGATAAGAACGTTGCAGTATCTAGTTGCGTTTGAGAAATTTATTCTGCCCCACAAATCCTTTCTCTATAAATAACTTGGATAGCAGGTCATAAATTTTCAGGAAGAAAAGTTGGTACTATATTTTAAACAAATGAGTGCAAACATAATAACATGTAGCATATTCTGACATATGTAGCGCAGTCATTGCACTATTCGGCAAGATTATAAGAATGCAGCGCATCATGATGAGTAGGCATTTTATACCATTAATTAGTCAAACTTCACTAAAAATATTTTGGAGCTTATTTTAGAAGCATAAACAAAGAGGCTATAAGAAGCTCCATTAATTAATAACATATCAAGTAAGCTAATCTCCACTCAGCCATTAATGTTGTCGTTTTATCACTTGTACTCATTTCCACGGAATCATCTCGGACTGTCTGCATTATCGGCATCGGAATCAGCAGCTCCTCCGTGGCACACTTCCTGTGGAGCTATTCAAACTCTGAAATCGGCACAATCAGAATCTTAGAGTGGCACGATGCTGTCGGAGGGCGCATGGCAACTACCACGCGGAGGGCGCATGGCAACTACCACGCTTTGAATTACACTAAATATCTATATTTCTCTATCCGACCTTCTGAATATGATTCCTCATTTGGCATTTAGGATGGACGTGAGTTTGTTTTCAAAACCTTCACTTCCCAATCGAAGCTCCCTATATTCCAAAGCCTTGTGTCCTTCGCCAATTCCATCTTGGTTTTCTTTTGCTATGGCTTCTCTCTGTTTTGCATGAACACCTTCGTTGAGGTACTCCAACTTCACTAGCAATTGTGGAACATGCCAACAACTACTTTTTTCCTTTTCTTATTAACTAAAAATTTGTGGAAATATAACGAAAAACAAGATTTTTTTAGTTAATGCTATAGTGAAAAACTGATGCAGTGGGCAAAAGATTAGGAGAATATAGTTAATATAGCTCTATTGTTCTGTAAGTTAGTAATGGGATCTAAGGAGCAACTTGCGGTGTAGGTATTTAAAAGCAAGCAAGGTTGTTAATTAAAGGGACTGAGGCTTTGTTAGTTGGTACAGATTTCTATCCATATACAACCAATTTTGGACTGTTGGGCGTTGGGAAGAGGGCTTTCACGCTCCTGTGCGTCGTGTTCCTCACGCAGCAGGCTAATTAGGACCAACTGATGTCACATGGGCATGGTCAACAGTCAAATGTATTTATTAGTTAAGGGAATCATGTTCAAACGGGAAAGTTTAAAGTTTATATATTGAATTTTGAAAGCTCTACAAGTTTAAGTGGTCAGGAAGTCATTACGCGTAAAATAAAAGAGTTAAACTATAGAGATTTTTTCATTCCTATATAATATTTAAAACTTATTTACCCCCCAACAAACAAGGATTACTTACAAATTACATACATTCCACCCTCAATTTCCTTATTCTCTGCTGCCTCTCTCCACCCAAAAATTTGCATTCCTTTTAATTGCACGTTCCCTATTCAACTCTAACTAATCTTCGTCACGTTCCCTATTCTCTTTCCATAGTTGGCATATCAACTATTCCTTTTAATTGCAGAATTATTTTGCATTCCTTAGTTGTCAGCATGGTTTTCCTTAAGGAATATAAATTGTTTCCTTCATTGCAGAATCTTTGCTTTTCTTAACTGATTTATCTTTTTCCTTTTTCACCTAGTTCATCCTAGAAATTATTTGGAACAGATTTGTGCTATCCTCCATGTCCTTATTCAAAGCTTCTGTAAATATTCCCAACTTTTGAAAAGTTTTCCGGCTTCACCAAGCTCTATTTTGATTGAAATTTTAGAGAGGAAGAAACACACACCACAAACAGGACATATATATCAATGATCTCGAGATTAGTTGGAGTTGAAGTGTAAGCAGAACAGTGAGATGATAAATCTGTATAGTACAACAACATACAAATTAAAAAATAAATTTCGTAAAAAATTAATACAAATTTGATACATCTACAACACCATATAAACTAAAAATAAATATTATACAACTAATTATATAACATACAACTTATTTATAACTTATCTACAACTTTCATACATACTAAAAATAAATTTCATACAACTAACTATACAATATACACTTATTTTCAACTAATCTACAACTTTCATACATACTAAAAATAAATTTCATACAACTAACTATACAATATACACTTATTTTCAACTAATCTACAACTTTCATACATTATTTTACCCAGTTAAATACAACTACAATATCATACAACTTAAATATAATTTTTATATAAATTTATATAATATATCTTTTGTATATTTGGTATCTGATTTGTATATATTTTATGTTTGGTGTGTGCTTCTTCCTCTCTAAAATTTCAATCAAAATGTACTCTCTTAATACAATTGTAACGACCCAGCCGGTCGTTTCGAGAGTTGTAGCCCCGTTCTCCCATTTTCTATTCCTTTTGTTTTCTATAGCTGTTATATGACTTATCGGGTTAGCTGGTTCGGGTCTGGAGTAATTTCAGAATGAATTGAGACACTTAAACTCTTATTTGAAAGCTTCAGTTGGAAAAGTTGACCGGATGTTGACCTATGTGTAAACAACCTCGGATTTAAATTTCGATGGTTCCGTTAGGTGATTTTGAACTTAGGAGCGCGTCTGGATTTTGATTTGGAGGTCCGTAGTAGAATTAGGCCTGAATTGGCGAAAGTTGGAATTTTGGAAAGTTTTGACCGAGAGTTAATTTTTTTATATCGAGGTCGGATTAGATTTTTGGAAGTTGGAGTAAGTTCGTGGTGTCATTTATGACTTGCGTGCAAAATTTGAGATCAATCGGACATGATTTGAAAAGTTTTGATGTCGTTTGTAGAATTTGAAAATTTTGAAATTCATTAGGCTTGAATCCATGTGTAATTCGTATTTTTGATGTTGTTTGAGGTGATTTGAGGATTCGACTAAGTTCTTATGATGTTTTGGGACCTTGTTGGTATGTTTGGTTGAGGTCCGGGGGCCTCGGGTTGATTTCGAGTGGTTAACGGACTTGGTTTTGAGTTAGTGAAATTGCTAAAGCTGGTTTGTTGCTGGTGTAAACGCACATACGAGGGTTTCGCTGCAGGTGCGGCAGGGTTGGCACAGATGCAAAACTGGAGCTGGCCTAGGGAAAATGCAGGTGCAAAAGAGAATGCGCATTTGCGAACCCGCAAATGCGAGACAGGCTCCACAGATATACGAAGTTTGAAGGTTTGGTTGTTTCTGCAGATGCGGACAAAGGTCTGCAATAGCACCTCCGCATGTGTGAGACTTGGAGCGCAGGTGTGAGCCCAGTGATTTAAGTGGTTTCCGCAGAAGTAGAGGAATAACCGTAGAAGTGGTTCTGCAGGTTTAGATAAGATGTCGTAGGTGCAAAAAGCCTGGGCGGAATGTTTAAAAATAAGGGTTCGCGATTTTAGTCTCATTTCAACATTTTAGACTCGGACTTAGGCAATTTTGGAGAGAATTTTTGAGGGGATTATTGAGGTAAGCTTCTTGTACTCGTTTTTTATCATAAATCTTGTTTCCCCATTATTTTTCCCTCCTAGATTGTGTGATGTTGAGGTGAAATTTGGAGGTTTGAGGCTAGGGATTTGGAGAGTAAGTTTTGGGAATTTGAATGACCATTTGGTGTCAGTTTTGGATAAATTTGGTATGGTTAGACTCGTGAGTGAATGAGCTTTCGGGTTTTATTGATTTTTGTCAGATTTTGAGACATGGGACCGGGGAGCCGGGTTTGAACCAATTTTGGATTTTTAGCTCTAATATAGTATTTTTCTTGTGGAATTGATCCTTTTAGCTTATATTGATTGTATTGTACTATTTGTGGGTAGAATCGGGATGTTTTGAGACCGATTTGAGAGGCAAAGGCATTTTTTAGTAGAGTTTTGCTCGGATTAAGTTAAGTAACACTTTCAAACTTGGTTCCGAGAGTTCAAAATCCCAAATTATGTGTTATGTGATTGGTATTGAGGTGAGCACATGCCAAGTGACGGACAACGAGCGTACATCGTGAGAGTTGTGACCCAGTTGATTCCATGGCACTTTATAGTGACTCTCTTATTGATATCCGTATTTTCATCATGTGATAAAGTAATTGAGCTGTCAATCATGCTAGATATCATGTTTAGGCTTTATGTCGGTACTGTTGGGGCCCATAGTGGTCATTTCTTGCTGTCACCTTACTAATTTCAATGATATTTCGTACTCAACCATATTCATTTATTTCATATCATATCTCAGTCTCAGTTCTTATTTATTGAAAGATCATATCATTATTTCGGGCAAGTTTTTATGACATTGTGAGCCTGTGAGTGAGACTGGAGAGATTGATGACTGAGTGAGGCCGAGAACCTGATTGTGAGTGACAGTTATGGGATCGGGCTGCACGCCGCAGCGATTATACTAATATTATGATAGCGTTTGGGCTGTAGGAGCCCCTCCGGAGTCTGTACACACCCCCAATGAGCGCTTGATACTAATGAGGGATGGATCTTCTTTGTACATGGATCTTGTCCGAAGTACTTGATAACTGGAAATGGATCTTCTCCACAGGGCTGGATTGGCCTTCCTCGGTACTGGGTGACTTATAGTCGATGATATATATATTCTGGGTTGGATCTTCCCTGGGTTGTATGGGCCATATACAGTACCGAGTGGTTGAGCATTGAGAGTGTGAGCACATGAGGATGACAACATAGTACATCACATACAACATGTGTATTTGCATGTAGAAATAGAAGAGTTATATTCTTCACATTGCTCAGATCTGATCTACTTTACTGTTTTGAGCTATTTGTTTCATTTGAAAGCATGCCTACATTTCTGCACTGTTATCTCTATTGTTAATTGTACCGGTTGAGTTCGTCACTACCTTTTAGTCCAAAGGTTGGACTTGTTACTTACTGAGTTGGATGTACTCATGTTACTCCTTGCACCTCGTTTGCAGATCCAGGCGCTTTTGGTCACGGCGGCTGCTGAATGAGGCATCAGAGTTCGGAGACTATCGAGATAGCTGCACGA